TGAACCAATTTCACAACTATCGTAGTTTTTTTAACCATGACGCCTTCTTTACTTTATATGTTGGTTACTGATATTTAATGAATTTCTAGTTTGTATCGATCTCTTCCTCGTGAAATGTTTTCGAGCTCTAACAATCGAACTACTGGTAGGATGATGTCAAAAACACTGAGCACGTCCATTTTTAGCCATTTCCAAAGATGAAAATAGAGTCATTGTGCTATATAGTTTTAGTTCGTGTTTTTCGCAGACAAAGTCGAATAACTTCGTTTTTTTTCTATTCGGCTATGATTTGACCAGCACTACCTAGGATCCACCAAATGAAAATTCAAGGAATTCAGGAAATTCAAGCAATTTAGAGTCATATACTGCTTTAAGGCATACCCCTTCTAAATATCATGGAATTCAAGGAAATCAAGAAATTCAAGCAATTTAGGCAATTCAAGGAAATTTATGGAAAATCAAGGAATTTAGAGTGACACACAACTATAAGAAATACCCCTTCTAAATAACATGGAATTCAAGGAAATCAAGAAATTCAAAAAGTCTAATGAAAATAAGTGTATTGTAAAAAATCAAACGTGGTTTATATTTTCGAACAGTATTGTGCGAGTATTTTACGGTGTCTAGGTGAATTGTTTAGGATTTAGATGACTTTTGAAGGAATGCACTTCAAAGTTGTAGTAGATATGTAGAATTTGAGTGAAAAAGTGTTTTCCTGAAGGTTTTTAGCGAGCGGCTTTCAATATGCTGCTGTTTTGGAACTATCTGATTTTGAATGTGGATGAAGTTTTGAGGGTGTGGGTGTGGGTGTGGGTGTGGATTTGAGTAATGTAATCCAACAGTTACACCCACCCACACCCACACCCTTCAATCAAACCCTCATCCATCATCCGCCGCAAATCACCTCTAGAATTTCAAGAGTCCTCAACTTCCTCAATTAGTTCATTTTCCAAATGTTCTACCACAACTAGCTCCTCCATCACCCGCCATGCACATCGCTCTCCATCTCTTCGGCGAAATCCACTTCCTAGCCACTCCTAGCGGCAAATGTCGTTTTCACCCAATATCTTCCGTTTACTTCACTCTATTCTCCGCTACACGAGTTAGGTGTAAAACACCCTGACTCCCTGTTTCTGCTTGGACTCACTCAATTTCCTTCATCTCCTTCCATTTCCCGAAATTCCTTGAATCTTCGTAACTCTAACGTGGATCACACCCATCTTCTGCATTAGTCCTATGTGTCTTGCATATCTTCAATATACTTCACCTCCCTTAAGTTGCTTCATTTCCTTCCAATTCTCAAATTTCCTTGATTTGCCATCAGTGCATGATGATTCACCACTCATATGCCTTACTACTTGTATGTCTATTGAATTCCTCCAATTGCTCTGAATTGCTTGATTTACTAGAATTTCCTAAATCTCCTTGAATTTCCATAATTCCATCGTGTATCACACCCTACACTCTAAAAAAAGCCGCTCTTTCACCGAACCCCTGAAAAAGCTTCCGGAGATTTCTAAAACCGTCCAAAAGTATCCAAAGTCTCGAAAACAGGATAAAAAAATCTACCAAAACTTTATAGGTTCTTACCGTGTATCCAGGGTAAGAACCTTTTCCTGCGAAACCCTTTTTAAGTTCCGTATAGCAGAAAAAGCTTTTGTAGGAAAATACGAAACCTTTAGAGTTTTATATTAAACCCTAACAGTTTCATACTAAACCCTCCTGATTTCCTCGAGTTTAATACGAAACTCTAAAGGTTTCATATTTCTTACGAAACCTTTTCTGCTGTACGAAACTTAAAAAAAGGTTTCGCAGGAAAACATTCTTATCCTGGGTACACCGTAAGAACCTAAAAAGGTTTTGTAGATTTTTTTATCCTCTTTTCGAGACTTTGGACACCTTTGGACGCTTTTAGAAAACTCCGGAACCTTTTTCAGGGGTTCGGTAAAAAACCGACTTTTTTAAGAGTGTATATCTCCTACTATTTATATGTTTATTGAATTCCTTAAATTCCCTTGAATTTCTCTGAGTTGCTTGATTTGCTTGAATTTCCCAAATTTCCTTGAATTTTCATAATTCCGTGGTGTATCACACCCTGTATGCCTTACACTTGTATGTGTATTGAATTCCTTAAATTCCTCTGAGTTGCTTGATTTGCTTGAATTTCCTAAATTTTTTTGAATTTCCATAATTCCATGGTGTATCACACCCTATATCTCTTACTATTTATATGTCTATTGAATTCTTTGAATTCCTTGAATTCCTCTGAGTTGCTTGATTTGCTTGAATTTCTTAAATTTTCTTGAATTTCCATAATTCCGCGATGTATCACACCCTATAACTCCTACTAGTTATATGTTTATGGACTTCTTTGAATTCCCTTTAAGTGCTCCGAGTTGCTTGATTTGCTTGAATTTCCTAAATTTTCTTGAACTTCCATAATTCCGTGGTGTATCACACCCTATATCTCCTACTATTTATATGTCTATTGAATTCTTTGAATTCCTTGAATTCCTCTGAGTTGCTTGATTTGCTTGAATTTCCTAAATTTTCTTGAATTTCCATAATTCCGCGATGTATCACACCCTATAACTCCTACTATTTATATGTTTATGGACTTCTTTGAATTCCCTTTAATTGCTCTAAGTTGCTTGATTTGCTTGAATTTCCCAAATTTCCTTGATTTTCCATAATTCCGTGGTTTATCACACCCTATATCTCTTACTATTTATATGTCTATTGAATTCTTTGAATTCCTTGAATTTCTTCGAGTTGCTTGATTTGCTTGAATTTCCTAAATTTTCTTGAATTTCCATAATTCCGTGGTGTATCACACCCTATATCTCCTACTATTTATATGTTTATTGAATTCTTTGAATTCGCTTTAATACCTCGGAGTTGCTTGATTTGCTTGAATTTCCTAAATTTTCTTGAATTTCCATAATTCCGCGATGTATCACACCCTATAACTCCTACTATTTATATGTTTATGGACTTCTTTGAGTTCCCTTGTATTGCTCTGAGTTGCTTGATTTGCTTGAATTTCCTAAATTTCCTTCAATTTCCATAATTCCATGGTGTATCACACCCTATATCTCCTACTATTTATATGGTCATTGAATTCTTTGAATTTCCTTTGATTACTCTAAGTTGCTTATTTTGCTTGAATTTCCTAAATTTCCTAGAATTTCCATAATTCCGTTGTGTATCACATCGTATATGCCTTACACTTGTATGTGTATTGAATTCCTTGAGTTTCGCTGAGTTGCTTGATTTGCTTCAATTTCCTAAATTTTCTTGAATTTCCATAAATCCATGGTGTATCACACCCTATATCTCCTACTATTTATATGTCTATTGAATTCTTTGAATTCCCTTTAATTGCTCTGAGTTGCTTTATTTGCTTGAATTTCCTAAATTTCCTTGAATTTCCATAATTCCGTGGTGTATCAGACGCTGTATGCCTTACACTTGTATGTGTATTGAATTCCTTGAATTCCTCTGAGTGGCTTGATTTGCTTCAATTTCATAAATTTTCTTGAATTTCCATAATTCCATGGTGTGTCACACCCTGTATGCCTTACACTTGTATATGTATTGAATTCCTTGAATTCCCCTGAGTTGCTTGATTTGCTTGAATTCCCCTAATTTCCCTGGATTCCCATAATTATATGTTGCCTTATAATTGTTAGTGCTCTCAGGGTGTTTTTCTGTAGAATTTCTTGAATTGCTTAGAATTGCTAACTGTGAGATCCTAGGGTTATCTCCGCAGAAAATAGTTTGTTTCGTTCTGTTCGTCGCGGAACATTTTTTTCATTCTGCTCGTCGTGAGAAATATCGTTGCGATCAATATGCCGATATCGTTCTTAATTAATTTTTTTCAAAGATTGAAATTGATCAATTAATTCATCTTTATCTGGTGTATTATACTTGTACACGAGATAATAATGAACACATTGTATACAAAAAAACAAAAAAAAAGAAAAAACTAATTTAAAGAGTAACGTTTGCAGTGATATTTTTTAAGTATTGGTCCAGTTGAGATGAGTCGTAGGTGTTGACCAGCCGAGCTATTCGTTCGTCCAATTTTCAATAGCAGACTTTCTTCGTCTTGATATCATGGCCTTGGAGAATTTTTTCGATGTCAACTTCGAATTTTGATTGTTCACGACGAATTTTCTCTATCAGTTTCACGATGTTTGGATGATTTATCGAGACGCGGTTGGCAAATGCATTGTGCCACCCTTCCACCGAATTATTGGATCGAGGTACACCAGCGATTACACGATCATGAATGTTCCATAATTTGTGGTCAAATTGAGGTTTATTTCGGCCAGTTCCTAAGAAAGTCGAGTATATTTCAAATTTCTCAAGAATGAAGAAAAAAAATTACCCCTTCTTTTTGGTTCACCAATCCATGTTTTTTCAAAATAATCAAGTAAATCGTTGGCATCATCGTCGAATTGATCGGCAATTAAGTCAAACGCAGATGTAACTTCACCTACTGGAACGATGGCAAGAGCAATCAATTTTTTTACATTTAAACGAAAACACTCATCCTCTTTATATTTGGTTGCCAATCCTTTGTTTTGAACTTGTCGCCATATCGCTTGTGAAAAATGAAAGAGATATCCTATAACAAACGTTTAAAGTATCTTTTTTGTGAATAGATTAGAACGAACCTTTGTGCAAAACATTTGGTAACCTCTCTTTGACTGATTTGATTGTACCAGTTTCGAAATCAGTCATAATTGATTCTGGTTGAAAATTGTCTTGTTCGAAGAATTTTTCGAAGAATTGATTGTAATCATCCTTGCTTTTACCAATTAACAATCCATAAACAAGAGAAATTAGAAAAAAAGATACGCATTCAATTAATAGCTCACCTTAAATGTTCCATCAGCGAACCAATGTTTGTTTTGTTTGAGAATAGATAAATTATTTTTCGTTGTAAAGATAATTAAATACTCGTCTTCGTACAAGATGAAATCTACATTACGTTATGTCTTTCTTAACTTTTCTGGTAAACCACCATCGGCATCGACTGTTTCAGCAGTGCGTTGTCGTCGAATTATGAGCATAAGTGCATCGTTTTTTGGAAGTTCACCAGCGGCACTAAGAGGATATGTTCGTAAGGCTGAATAAAGAATTGAGCTGGATGGTTCATCTGTTGTCGCAGTACGAGCTTTAATTGCGTTCTGTAGTTGGATAGCTGAAACACGATCAGGTTGTGGAGCATGACAATGTGACATTGGCTGAGAGAGAAACGCGACCATGGATAAATTGGTATGGCAACGTGTTTAATTGATAAATGATTTTCATTTTAATTAGTTGGTTGATGATATTCAAAATGAATTTACCTTGACAATCACGATTCTGACATCGAAATTTGAGATATATTTTGGAAGTGTTGTGTACAGTAAATGTTCAGATTGAGAAATGAAATATATTTTCAAAATCATCAACGTTTATTTTTTTATCTCTCGGTCACATTATTAAGAACATTGGATTAGTGTTATCATGAGTCTAGATTATCTCGAAATTCATTAAAAGATTAACAAAAACTAATTATTCTTCGAATACTTTAGCTCAATTCTGACTGCACGTGTTTAACACGTTTCATTGATCCGTTTTCCCAATTAAAGTTATCATCTTTAATATAATCCTTTCTTCAGTGCATCTTTTACATTTTTTCATTTTTTTTACTCGGACTGAATTATATAAAAAATTAATTAAGAGCAATATCGACATATTGATCGCAACAATATTATTCACAATCAACAGAACGAGAAAAAAAATGTTTCGTGACGAACTAAATGAAACAAACTATTTTCTGCGACGAATTGTACTAGTGCCTCGTAGTGTTATGCAAAAGACAGATAAGTGATAAGTAGAGAATTACAACATTGTTTATTGAGATAAGAAATTTTGAGTCAAGACAATATCTAAACCCAGGTCAATGATGTAGTAGATCGACTGTATGATGTTCTCATAGAAACTTCCAAGAAAAACTACGAAAAATGATAGGAACTTGAAAGCAGTATTATAATGATCTTATTTGATGGGTGACCGTCAACCACGAAAATCCAGTTTTGGGGTTTGGACATCAGATTTCTGCTTCTAGCTTTCAAACATGTTTCACATTCTTCTAGGAGGGAGTGATCGTACATGATTCACCTGGGAAATAATAATATAGACATAAACACAACATCGATCATGCACAAACAAAAACTACAAAGTATATTATATGCTTGAATGTGTTAGGATAAGTTGTTTTCAATCAGTGATTAATATTTCGTCAGTGTTTCATGCGGTTGATTCCGTTGTACTGCTGTTGTAAATTCTATAGTAGTTACTGGAGAACGACGTCTATTCCATATACGTTTAACTTTTTCTTTGAATTCCTTACGAAAAAATGTTGAACTGAGACAATGAATATAAAAACTTATCTAAAAATACCATGTACAAAATATCAATGTGATTATAAAATTAATGATCATATTTACTGCGTGAAAGAGACTTTGAAACCATCCTAAACTTGCCCAAATAGATATGATCTGAAAAACAGTGAGCGACGCAGTTCCTTGTCGTGGTGATTGTATTTTATAAATTCCCAATGGAAGAGACGTAATCAGAAAAATACAAACACTTGCAAGCATTAGAATAAATATTTGTTTTTGAAGAAGTTTTTGTTGTTTTGTATTTTTAATATGACAAGCAAATTGAGTTGGTCGAATAAGCGCTCGTCTACGAGCACGAACAATAATAAATATATCGATGAGAACAGCCAACATTATAGCAGCAGGCACTAAGCAATTGGTAAAGATCTAAATTACACGTGTATGAGAATTTTTCCATTGATAAGTTATAGCAAAAAGAAATTCTCGGTTAAAAAAAATTAATAGAGTGTTAACAAGCACAAAGAAAAGATTTATGATTAAGAAAACTATGATTAATATATTTTGATAGTATAAAGCAATTGATTACAGTTCACACTATTTACTTAAGAACACCAAAACAAAACTTGCATTAAATTAGAATGTATCAGCGTAACTGTATAGAAGAATATTCTTCTATCAATCAATATCATTCTACTACTTATAAGTGAGTTCTCAATCTGTTTTAGAAACTCTTTGACGAATAGAAGGCCAAGCCATGTGCCTACTTGGTCAATAAATTTATACTCAGTTACTCCATTTTTCGTCGAGATAATAGGATGAAAATACAAAAATATGAAAAATTCGTTTTAATTAGGAGCATGCATCGCAATAATCATAAGTTATTACAAAAACAAGAGAATATGCTTTGATTATTTTAATTTCTACTTACTTGCACTATGCTCCATTCCAAAAAGTAGAATAGAGCGTATGAAATATTAATGATAGTAGGTCCACATGCTGCCATTGAAAAGCCAGGTATAAGCATTCCAAACATTGAAGTTAACATATGAGCATGAAGAGCTATGTCTAACATAAGTAAAACACCGACAGCAAAGAGAGCATTTTTTGGTGTACATATTGAACCTGATTTAAAGGGAAATCGTGTTCGAATCCATCGATCAATCGAAACTATTACTAATATCCATGCTGATAAAACTTGAGCAACGTTCATTATAAATGAACGAAATCGACAAAGTTCATCGTATGCAAGACGACGATAGAAACTAATCTATTCATAAAATTAAAAGAATCTTTTTTTATTTTCTAGAAATGAGTTTTTCTTACTTGTAAACCGAATTCTACAAAATCAAAGATACATATAAGTAAATATAATGTATCCGAAATAGCCAAAGTAATAAACAAACAACCAGTTGATATTTTTCGTAATGTTGGTTGTGAAAATGTAAATAAACTAGCTAGATTACCAGGAAACCCCAGTAAAAATGTAAACAAATAACCAATTTGATAGAATCGAATAACTAAAACTGGATTTTTATATAGTAGGAATAATTGTTCCTGAGAGAATATCGCCGTTGTAATTGCACTAGATATGCTTGGTGTTGTTGTCATATTCATTATTAAAATATTGAAAAATAAATGCGGATTACATAAGTATAAATATATAGCATCGTTTCATTCCAGTAACCTCTTGCCCGGATAGAATAGTTATTATGATGTTAAGTAGATTAAATGTTAATAGATATGATAAAATTTCTATAAATAAAGAATATCAACAATCATGAAGATAAACTTCGTATTATCATTCATTATGTGAAAAAGAGAAGTTAATTAAGTTGAATGTTAGGGCATTTTGAGTACCTTTTCACAAAAATGCAAAAAATAGAAACACATTCCAGAGTGTTATTAATAATTATTTCTCAGTCCTAGATCATATTACGTCGTATGTTTTAAGCAAAAAGTAATTTTTCATTAAAGATACACAATTTTGTCAATGAAATTTCAAATGCAAATAGTTCAAGATAAATCTCAAAGCGATACTAACAGCTGATGATTATTTTTGAGATAAGAAATAATGATGCCATGGAATAAATAAGAGGTTAAGAAGTTCGTTGCTTTTTCACAACATATTGTGCAGGTTTATGATAAAAATACATAAGTATAGTCTACTCATTCAACAGCAGTCAAATCAATTGTGGCAAAAGCGGCTGTTTTCTGTTAGAATGTTTAGTATAAAGCCACAATTATCTAACAAGAGAAGATTGATAAGTCTGAGTCTTCGCTTTGTTTTCAATCGGCTTTTTGTCAGTTTGTAGTACTCGATAAACTGATTACGATGGTATAAAGCGTTCTTACCCATATAATGCCTTTTGAGGAGTTAAGTTGATCTTAATTACAGAGGGTGTTGGACATAGGGTGTGAATCTTCAGTCCACCTACATTTACAGCTTTATTCTATTCTATGTTTTTTTGCTTACTGTTCTAATTATTTATCATACTTAGTAACGTGTGAGAACCATGTACATCACTGACAAAAGTGAACAAAGAAGATCGAAACACTTTGAAAATAAAAGGTTATAGATAAAATGTTATTTTCTGTAGTATAAAGATTCAGAAAAATCGATGCAATATTCTTGTTGCTCATTATAAAGTCAATGAGCTTTAGCACATTGAACAGTTGGCATTTTTTTGTATGTAACGAGTTCTGAATCACGGAATTGATAAATTTGACCAAAATTGATTCTTCTGCGAATGGTTGCTCAAAAGAGAATTCGCCACAGAATCATCCCATGTGACAAGAGAAAAATTATCTTTTTCTCGATGTTGGTTTTTTAAGTGAAATGTTTGATCGAACCATCGTCCAATCCAATATATAAGACCATGTGATTATATCTGTAAAAAATGTGAGCTGCATAAGTATAAAGAGTTTATTTCGATCTTTGAAAATTACTAAACATGGACGTGTTCTGTATTTTGACGTTATCTCACTAACGATTCGATGGCTTGAGTTGTGAATCACCTTATTAGATAGAGAACAGTAAAGGCTACAGATGCATGTTATCTGAATGACCAATATATAGAGTAAATAAAACATCACAGGTAAAAAAAAATCGAATAATCGAAGAACTCGTTCTTTCGAGATAGCGACATTTCGGACGTTTCTCGAGTTGTAAAAATGCTACTACAGCTCTTTTTTACGAGTCATAGATTTTCTTAAAACACACATTTTGATATTAAGTTTGTTAACTTAAAAGTTTTGGAAAGATAAGTTTATACAGACCACACTCTGGCTCATCTTGCCAAGTAAACACTCATTCTATCCTGAGATGTCATACAATATCTAATGAAAGCGAAAGTTTTGCTTCACAATCGTGTTCAGCACACGAAACCAGAGCCTCTGACACTAATTCTCAAGATCACAATGAGTTGAGTGTGTCAGAGAAAGAATTGCAAATAGTCAATCTTTCCACAACAATATAATATGAATTTGATAGCTCTTTATTAAGGCTTCAACCCCATGCGTAATATACTATTCGACTGTATAATCGTAAATGTCAGACCAGCAGAAGTACAGTTCACATAACATCATCCTAACATAGAACTGAACCCATCACTACTTTTCGAGATATTTCTTAGTTAAAAAATAGCAATGACCATTTTCCTAACATACTTTACTTGATAGCCCTTTTCAAAGTTACATATCTTGCATAGTTTTCAAGCTCAAGAAGGCTGTTTACTTGCTAAATAACTATTCACATGGCTCCCAGTCAATTGATATTCACTTCTCGCGAGATATTTATTAGACATCTTCTGCTCATGTCTAAACAGGATTGATGTATAGCTAAGATATAGAGTCATTCGTTTATAGTTTGAGGTCGAACTCTATTCTACTTAGAAGAACGATTTGGCCTCGATTCTGCGTTCTATTTCAATGGGTTAGGGGTCATAATGGTACCATTCCAAACTAACAACGAAGACTAATGCTTGTATCTATGATTCATGTCAACAATTGATTTAATTACATATATACTATCGGGCCAAATGAATTTCCTTCCTTTTTTTTGTTTTTATTACTCTACTTCTTTTATTTATTAATCCAATATATATAGCGAGAAAGCCCGGAGCGCGCTGCTTCTTCTGATGTATTTACGTTGAGCATCAAATGTAGTTTAAAATGTAAAAATACGTTAGAAAAAAAAAGTGACATTGTTTTTTTACTACAATACCGAGTGTCCATAATATTGTACCATTTTTTATTTGACATATATCTTGGCTTAGATAGAAGATAAAATCTTGAATTTTTTTGCAAAAGATACGCTGTGAAAAGCTCTACAAAATCTGTATGAACCAACTCATATAGCGAAACAAAAAGTGTTCCAAACATTTTCAATATTATGGAAAGTGACACTGTCATGTAAGTTGTTCATTTTGAGTATCAGAAAAACCATTAGAACTGGGTAACTGGAATTCAATCATTCAGATTTTATAGAGCTTTTCACAGCGTATCTTTTACAAAAAAATTCAAGATTTTATCTTCTATCTAAACAATGTCACTTTTTTTCTAAAGTATTTTTACACTTTAAACTACATTTGATGCTCAACGTAAATATATAAAAAGATGCAGCGAGTTCCAGGCTTTCTCGCTATATATAGTAGACCAATAAATAAACGAAGTATAGTAATAAAAATAAAAAAAACAAAGGGGGAAATTCATTTGGCCCAGATAGTAGTTATCAGGAAAAAATTATAAATGTATAGGGAAAAAGAATATATATATAAAAGTCACTAATCATATGATCTCCCTTGCCAATGGTCAGTTGAATGACCATCTTATGTATTATCATCTCTTAACTACCAAGGTGTTGGAGAAATTTCGAAATATAATTAACTCATTAGTACGCATCTTTTATTTATTGATACTATATAGCAAGCCGTAGAGATTTCTATCGGTTGTATGTAGAAAAAAATTCTTTTTTTTTTATATTTCCACTTTTTTGATCTTTTCAAAAACTAATCGATTTTGTAAGGACACACACAATGCAGAGACATATCAATCAAGCAAAACAGGTTTTTACTAATTGATAACTAATGAAGTTTATTACAAAGCAGGCTTTTAGAGTTTTCAAATTTTGTGTTTCCTTCATTTTCTCTAATTTTTCTTTAAAATGGTTACTGCTGTGACCAAAAGAGGGCAAAGGATTAACGAAACCTACGCCTACTATAAAAAGGAACTGCCGGATCTGTTACATTACCTTTCTGTACCTTATATGTTAAATACTTAGATTAGATGACTTTGTAGTCTGCAATATTCTCTATTTATTGAGATGATTCTGAACCCAAACAGTCGAACCGCTCGTGTAATAATGTCACAGTACTGAGCAGATTCATTTTTAGTGATTTTTAAAAATCAACAAACATCCATTATATTTACTAGTTTTAGCTAGTATTTTACACCGGCAAAGTCAAATGAGCTCATACTTCTAGTGTGACGATAAATCGAATAGACCGTTCATTTGAGAGAGCAAACTCGAAAAAAGTTTTCCTTCGCGAACTAAAGTGGTTCTAGTCGTACTCGCTCATAAGTTATACAAGTAGGAAATACTTGAATGATATTTGAACTATTATTCAATAGACAAATAAGTAATGAATAGAGAATAAATTACAACATCATTTATTAAGATAAGAAATTTTCACTCAAGGCAATATTCAAACCTAGATGAATGATGTGATCGTCATGACTACGTGATTTTCGAGCCCAAATCTGCAGGAAATATATCCCTACCAGTCAGAAGACTCTATAAAAGGGTAGAAATTAGGAAGCAGAATAAGAACGATCGTATTCAATGGCTAACTCTCTATGTTTCGCGTCAGCAGCAAGAAAGTTCAACCACTGAATCCGAATACAGTATTCCTACTTCCACTTTCGAACCATTTTTTGGCCTTCTCTACGCGCTGCTGACTGTACATTATTCACCTAGGACACAATAATGAGATTACACACATATATATAAACAACATCGATCACTTACAAACAAAAACTACAAAGTATATTATATGCTTGAATATTTTTGTATAACTTTTCTTTTCAATCAACAATTAATATTTCGAAGACATTTTATTGGTTTGAGTACGTTGATTTGTTGTTGTAAAATCTATAACAGTCAGTGGAGATTGACATGTATTTCATATACGTTTAATTATTTAATTGAATTCTGCACGAAATAATGTTGAACTAAGACAATGAATATAAAAATTGATCTAAAAAAACAATGACGACATGTTTATCTAATTATAAAAGTAATGATTATATTTACTGCATAAAACAGACTTTGAAACCATCCTAAACCAGCCCAAATGGTAATAATAATAAAAATAGTAAGTGACAGATTTCCTTCTCGTGATGATGTTATTTTATAAATTGCCAACGGCAAAGAAGTAATCAGAAAAATGCAAACACTTGCACGCATAAGAATAAACATGTGTTTTTGAAGAATGTTTTGTTGTTTTGTATTTTTAATATAACAAGCAAATTGAATTGGTCGAATAACTACTCGCTTACGAGCACGAACAACAATAAATATATCGATGAGAACAACCAGTATTATACTAGCTGGTATTAAGCAAGTGGTAAAGATCTAAATTATAGGTTTAGGAAATTCTTTTCTTTTTTTGTTAAATAAGCAAAAAAAAGAATCCATCAACAATTCATAAAAGATTAGCCGTCTTAGGTTAAACCATATTAGAGATTCTTTTGAATTTTGTAGTAAAAAGATTTATGATTGACAAAAAGAAATAAATCTATTTTGATTGTACAAGATAGATTGACTTCTAATCTTACATAAGATAATGTTCTTTGAATATGTGAAGTTCTACTTACTTGAACTATACTCCATTGCCAAAACTAGAATTGAAAGTATGAAGGATTGTTAAGAGTGGGTCCACATGCTGCAATCGAAAAGTCAGGTATAAGCATTCCAAACATTGGAGTTAACATATGAACATGAAGAGCTATGTCTAACATAAGTAAAACGCCTACAGCAATTAGAGCATTTTTTGATTTACATATTGAACTTGATTTGAATGGAAATCGTGTTCGAATCCATCGATCAATTGAAACTATTACTAATATCCATGCTGATAAAACTTGAGCAACGTTCATTACAAATGAACGAAATCGACAAAGTTCATTGTATGCAACATAACGATAGAAACGAATCTATTCATAAAAGAAAAAGAAACCTTTTTTACTTTGCATAACTGAATTTTTCTTACTTGTAAACCGAATTCTAGAAAATCAAAGATACACATAAGTAAATATAATGTATCCGAAACAGCCAAAGTAATAAACAAACAACCAGTTGATATTTTTCGTAATGTTGGTTGTGAAAATGTAACTAAACTAGCTAGATTACCAGGAAACCCAAGTAAAAATGTAAATAAATAACCAATTTGATAGAATCCAATAACTATAACTGGCTTTCTAAAAATTAAGGATAGTTGGTTCCGAGATAATGATGTTGTTGTCATGCTCATCTTTGCAATATTAAAAAATGAATGAAGATCAAATAAATATGAGCATATAGTCTCTTTTCCTTTTAGGAGCTTTGTTCATAGATGGAAAAATCGTTATGATGTTAAGAAAATTAAATCTTAATGGATATCGAAAGATTTCTATAAACAAAGAATATAGAACAATTATTAAGATTAGCTACGCTCCCTTATTCAATATGTGATACTGAAAAAATGATTAACTTGAATGCCAGTAATATTTTATCGACCTTTCATCTTCCAGGGAGGCGCTTTAAAACTTCAGAAAATTGAGCATATACTTTTAGGAATGCAGACACATAAGAAATGCTACAATAGTCACAAACTTCAGGAGAATCAAAGCGGTCTGTTGAAGAGCACTGCTTCCTTACCTGAGTGCAGCATATTCTAGAATTTTATTCATAACTATTTTTGATTCATAGACCATATTGCGTTGTCTATTTTAAGTGAAAGCAATTTTCTATCAAAAAAAACACTTATGTGTCAATCAAATCTATGACATAAAAAATTCAACGTCATCGTCAAAAGCAACACTACCAATTGGTAATAATTTATGAGTTAAAAGGCACTGATGATTGGAAACAGAAAAGTAGGTTAAGAAGTTCGATTATCATAATGTTTATCTTGCAGTATATTGGATGACCACAATTGAAAATAGAAGTTTGTATAGCCTAATGATGAGAATTATCATGCTACAATAAAAAAAAAAACTGTATTATTGTAGGTGTGTAATAAATTAAATAATTATATCTTACTAGATGAACAACATTGAAATAAATTGTAGACAAAAACGACATGTTTTTGTATCATAATGTTTAGTATTAAGCAGTGATTCTTTGATGAGAGACGATTCCCAAGTGTCAGTGTTCATTTTCAGTCAATTTTATTGTAAAATGTGAAGCTCGACGACACAAAGCGTTCTTTCCAATAGACTTTTCTTTTTTTGAGAACTCTGATCAATCTCAACTATAGAAAAATTATTGTAACTTATTATTTCAAAAATTTTAATTTTTATGTTAGTTTAGTTCTCACTATTCAAAGTTTCAGCAGTACATGTGCTTTAATTCTACGTCCATGGTTTGAATATTTCAATATCATTAATATTTAAAACTGATCAAATTTCCGCTGAGAATTGTATTTTAATGATGTAATAATTAAAATTTTTGTCAAATATCTTGTATCATAGTACCATTCTGTAAATCTATACTATTAATGGCATTGAAATATTCGAAGTATGAACATAGTTAAGACATCTATTCATAATATTTGTATAGATGTGTGTAATCAATTAATTTCAAAAAAAAACGACATAAGAATTATCTAGATCAAAATTATTCATATATTTTTTATGTCTACCAGGAAGAAAAAAAAAGACATGATCATCATTTTCTTTTTCCTATTTTTGTATAATCCATCTTTTTTTATTAGAAAAACTATATTAATCCATAATCATTTACGCGATAAGTATATTATTTTAAGAACTATGTTGTCTTATTTACATTTTGATGAACTTTTAGAATAATGACACAGAAAGAATTATTTTACAAAATAAATTATATTCTTTGCATTTAGATTAATATCGATGATAACAAAAAAAATAAAAATGTCTAAAATAACAGCTTACAATTATTTTTATATAATTGAAATCGACCTAACTGCTTGATACAATTGCGATCAGTCTATTGAGTCTCACAAGCTGATTTAGAGCCAATCAAGAACTAATGCTCATACGTGTGAATCTTTCCTCATTAGATAATTTTATAAATGTAAAAGCAAATTCATCAAATTGTTTCATGACAGCTATTATTGAATCAAGGACAATATAATGTTCTTTTTTGTTCAATTTTATTTACATAGGCAAATCTTATATTCTATGCATGAACTTTTTATAATTTTAACTTTAAATTAATTGAAAAATTTTATAAGTCATTTTAAAAGCTAAATTCAATCAATTGAGCAACATTCATACTCTAGAAATTTTATCAAACGATAATTCTATATCAATATGATTGTTTGAAAGACATTTCAAATAACTATTTCAATATACACTTAATCGTTAGAGAAGATCTTTCTGATATTCTTGAATGTTGCAATTAATTTCTGTTTAATTTTCAAAAATGAATTTTTAATTTGAGAATCTTTGATATCACCATACTCAACAGTCGTATCATTTTGGGTGTGGGTGTGGGTATTAATCTTCTCTTCACGCAGATATACACGTACCCACACCCACACCCTGATTTCGTCACGTCTCTTAACTGTATTTGATTTTCAAAAGTATGTGTCAAAAGTTTCAACATTCTTTTGATGTGAACATGATTGCATGCAAATTATTCTCTTCTTTATTTAGAATTATCAATTGCTCTCGTTCAAATCAATCATAAAAATTTTTATCTGCTCAAATATTTGTCTCAGTTCAACAATGCTTACTGATACAATTAATCTTTCTATGTCTTTCACATTGACGAACAGTCAAAAATAAAATATATTATTTAGCGATATTTGCTTTATCGGTGTTTATTTGCACTTAGATTTTTATATTTCTAGATTTTATATAAATTTTTCTTTTCATTAAAGAAAAACTAAAGAGTAATGGCTAGAGTTGTTGATCCAGCTAAGGAAGATAAATATGCCACGGCCATATTAGATCAAAACAATGTCCAAATCATTTAATTATTGATGATACTGTTAATGATAATAAGTGTCGTTGCATTATCACAACAAAAAATGGACGAATTACAATTATTTCGTGGTGATATTGTTCTACTTAAAGGTAAACAATGTCGTGAAACAATATGTATCGTTCTTACTGATGATACTTGTCCAAACGATCACATATGAATGAATCGTGTTGTACGAAATAATTTACGTTTACGATCCGGTGATATTATTTCAATTCACGCATGTCAAGGTGTTAAATATGGTAAACGTATACATGTTTTACCAATTAATGATACTGTTCAAGGCATAACAGGAGATTTATTTGAAATTTATTTAAAACCATATTTTGTTGGAGCATATCGACCAGTTAAAAAAGGTGATGTTTTTATTGTACGTGCAGCTATGCATGCTGTCGGATTTAAAGCTACTGAAACTGATCCAGTACCATATTGTATTGTTGCACCAGATACAGTTATACATTGTGAAGGTGATCCAATAAAACGTGAAGAAGAAGAAGCATCATTCAATGAAATAGGTTATGATGATATTGGTGGTTGTAGAAGACAACTAGCACAAATTAAAGAAATGGTTGAATTACTACTAAGACATCCACAATTATTTAAAACAATTGGCTTTAAGGGGACCCCCCCTTTCCGGCGTTTCTAAGAAACGACCGAACGAAAATTCCTGAAACTTTCAGGGTAGATAGACCTCGAGTAGTAGAGCAAAAGTTGTCATAGACACAAATTTGCCAGACGTCGTCTTCGTGGACTTCCAGAGACCCCAAGGTCAAAAATTTGCAAAAAGTTTTGCCTCCCTCGCAACTCCACAGATTTCATCCGTTTGAACTGAAATTTTTACTGTGGGTAGACGGACCCAATCGGGGTGGACGTTTTTTTCTTTTTTCAAAAATTCCAAATACTTCAGGCTGGAGAACCAAAATACTGAGCACTTCGCAAAATCTCTAGGTTTTTTGGATCCTAAAAATTTTGCGAAGCCTGCCAAACTTGATTGGTAGAAGGTATCCAAAAAAAAAACGTCCAACCCAAATCACTTGAAGTCTCACCAAAAAAATTTTCAGCTCGATCGGACTTGAAATGGCGGAGAAAAGGGGGGCAAAACTGGTTTTTGATACCCAAAAAACTGGTTTCGAGAAAAATGCAACGAAATTTGTGATTTTTGGTTTTTTCAGCATATTTTGTGCTTTTTTTCAAGTTTTTTTACATATAAGATGTGGGTTTTCAGTTCTCAAAGTGTGCTCAACGGATAGAGGGCATTGAAATCTATATACTGATCACAAAAAATGAAAAACGAAAAATGTGAAAATTTTGAGTCGGGAAAGGGGGGGGGGGGTCCCCTTAAACTACCAAGAGGTATTTTGTTATATGGTCCACTGGGCACAGGTATGATTGAAAGGGTGTGGGTGTGGGTGTGGATGTGGGTGGGGGTGGGGTTGGGAGTGGGGGTGTATGGGTGTGGCTGTGGCTGTGGATGTGGATGTGGGTGGGGGTGTGGGTGTGGGGTGCGGTGGGGGTGGGAGTGGGGGTGTATGGGTGTGGCTGTGGGTGTGGGTGTGGGTATGTATGTGTGGGCGTGGGTCTAGGTATGTGCGTCTGGGCGTCGCTGGGCGTGGGCGTGAATGACTACTAGATCCACACCCACACGCACCCACACCCACATCCACACCCACCCACACCCACCCACACCCACACCCACACCCACACCCACACCCCACCCACACCCACACCCACACCCACCCACACCCACACCCC